ATGCTGATATAGTTAGATGACACTGAAGAAAAAAAAGAAATACGTACAACAGTAAAAAATTATTTATGTGATGTATATTTTTACCTCCTCCATATTGTTTTACTCGGTACTAAGGTTAGGTTAGGTTAGGTATAGATATCTATCTATGATCGAAATATATATAGAACGGAATTTATTATTGTTAATGACATAATTATAACTTAATATTTTATAATATAGATTTACACTTCTTATCTCATACAGAGCTATCCAAATTGTGTAGCAAAAGTATTAACGATCAATGACCACGTATCTATTACTAATCCCTCTCCCAATTTTCGTCACGTGAAACTTGGAAGAACCTGTAGATGTATTATATTTGCTTAATTAAATTGTCTTAAATTAATGTATTTTTGTCACAGTTCGTGAAAAAGTAGTTCAAAACCAACAGAACTCTGGYGGTATAGTTGAACGAATGAAAGATTTTGTTTCGTCTACGGTTCAGTATGGAACTACATTGAAAGATTCTATGCAAAGAAACATTTCACCAACCTCGGCCAAAACATAGCTAAACTAATATTTTTTATTTTATTTATAAAACAATATTTGTAATACTGTTAATGTATCATATCATATTAAAAATAAGAGAAATTTTATTAAATATTAAATATCATTCACCATACGTTTATTAATATTATGTTTACTTATAAGCTCATTAAAAACAACTTTTCAAACTTAAAGGTACAGTGATGATATATGTTATACATTTATTTTATCTATATAGATATATTAAATTGTTCACATCACGTGTACCTACTTAGGAAGTTAATTACATATAAGTAGTGTTATCACTGTTATCACTGTTATCACTGTTATCCATATTGTTATTATTGTGAATTATTAATAAGGTAAACTAAATTAATATAAGCTATAATATAATGGTATATTCATATATTACCCGATTGAACATAACTAAATGTTTRTATTTTTATAATACTAAATCTGATAGTAGCCAATATAACCAATGGATCAGATTAATCAGAGACTAAAATTGTGTATAGTACGACACAGTTTGTGTAGTATGCAATTCTAAGTGTGTAATGYCTGTTGCAACTAGTACCTAACTGTTTTTTATTTATTATTATTATAATTTTTATACTCATTAATTAATTACCAACCTATTATATAATTCAAAGCATGTAAACTAAACATTATACATAACTTATGAATTATCAATGAAAAATAGGTAATATTTACWAACTCGGTACTATTTATTGTCAGAAAAATARAAATTTAATACTCGATGTTTATGAGTATGGATTAAATACACTTTAGGTATTCACTTGTGAAGGAAAATCCTGCTCATGGCACAGTTAAGTTAAATAAAAAGTGTGTAGTACGTAGAAACGTCTATTTTAGCCTCTAATATGTATTGCAATAATGAAATAACAAATGCTTTATTGGCAAAGAAATGATTAAATTACTCTATTAAACTATAYATAACTATAAATGTGAATGCTTTTAATTTGGAATGTAAAGAGTAGTATATTTCTAGCTAAAACTTTAATTTTGGTTTAATGTATTATAAGATATCTAATGCATTTGCTATAATGTGTAGGTTAATAACTATTTATGAAATTTGAATGACTAGGTGTCTAGGTAACCACTCTTTTTAGATTTTTAATAAACATTTTATAATTGTATTATTTATGGGTATTAATTATTTAAAAGCTGTAGATAATTATTGATAGGTAAGTGTTTTGAATTCCAATCTCAGGCGTTATTCTTTTAAGAGACTTATCGAATATTTGGCACCCGGGAAATTTCCAAACTGGCCACTTTCTCAAT